TTGTATTTCGACCCCAAGCTTCCATAAGTGGGTCAAAAATGACCTGCATGCATTTCCTATGGGAACCTTTGATTCTTATCACCTGTTGCTGTCAGGAATACATTCACTATGGACCACACAGACTACATCACAAGTGACACCTCTGGAAGATTATTTTACACAGCAAGATCTGATACCTGTCAGTATAATAATAATAATAATAATAAATTATATTTCTATAGGGCTTTTCAAGGACTCAAAATCGCTTCACGATATAAGGGAAGGTTAGGGTGGCGGGTATAGGACTATCAAACTTGATCAACCGGCATGGATTGATGGGGGGTGGGCTACGAGTAGACAAGAGGAGAAGAGATGAGTTTTGAAAAGGGGCTGGAATATTGTGAGGGTCTCAGAATAGCGGAGATCTTTGCATCGATATGTTCAAAACGTTTTTTTTTCAAAATGTAAAAAAAATTATAAAATTATAAAGAGTGAAAAATTAAATATTAAATATTTCTAGTTTGAACCAAAATATAATACTAAATATTATACAAGGGATTTTTCTTAACCAAAATGACAAACATGGCATAAAAACACATTATTCTAATACGGGTCCTTTTTGACCCACTTATGGAAGAGTGTAGGATCCAGGCACTCGGGCATCTAAGGGTTAAGTACATTGGAAATCATCTGATCCAGTGGTATACTCACATCGCTGGACTGCACGTATGCTTTCTTGGCGCGGATCAGGAGGGGCGTGTCAGCGATGGCGGTGTATCTGTGCTTCATCTTCTCATACTGGTCTTTGTATTTGTTCTGAGGGAAGACATCATGCATGCAACACATGAGCGCACTGACTGAATGTACAGTCATTTCTATCCACTTGTAGTAAATCAGAGACACGATATCACTGGAAATATACAAAGATATTAACTTAAGTTCTGCCGATGTGAGAGGTTACAAACACCCAGTAAACAATGATAAGAATACAAGAGGAAGGGGAATACTTACGTCACTGCAGACCACCTTCATTTTCCTAGAATGATCCATGCTCGGTGTTGCATATTCTGAAGTGAACAAAGTTCTCTCCTTGGAAGCCAAGCTGGTGTACTGGTACTGTAGAGAAACAGATACAACACTGGGTTAGATATAAGGAGAAGGAAATGATTAAAGCAACGAGTGGTGGTGGTTGTGTCTGAACTTGCTTTGTTGGTCAGCTGCTGGGCCCATTTGGCTCTCTTGATGTCCACAGAGTCCCCGGTGGTCCTGACCTTCGACATTTCCTCCTTAGCCAGGGCTTTGTAGATCATCTGAGAATAGAGAAGCACAAACACGTCAGCTCAATCAGATTACGTTACGATGTTTGCTTTCTGACACTCTTTTCTGAATGTAAACCTCGAGATCAGACCAATTTGCTGCCCTAGGCAAGATTTTAGCTGGGGCGGTTCAACTTGATTCGGGGGGGGGTGCCATAGTTTATGGACGCTGTACGCAATATAGGCGTAGTTCTGTTAGTATAAGATGATAAGATGTACTTTGTTGATCCAAAACTGGGAAATTGTGTTGTTATGAAATTAAAAATATATATTTCTTTTTAATTTCTAACTTTTTTTCATTTTTATTTTTTTCAGCGCCCCCCATTGATTGAGACGCCCTTAGCATTCGCTTATACTGCCTATGCCAAGGGCCGGCCCTGCTCAAGATAATAATGTGATGAAGTTGATATTGGTACTACATTGTGCCAATATCTGTTTTATTTGTTCTCTGTCCTATATATATATAATATATATATAATATATATATATTCATGTTGCTCTGTTGCAGGAGCCTGTGAATTAAGTTGCCATATCTACACTGTAGCTACTGTAATGTGCAAATGGCAATAAAGCCTTGCATCTTGAATCATTGGAGGCCAAGTTTTAAAATGACACATCGGGTCAAATTGAAATCTAAAGTATTTGTATTCATTTGGAGAAGGACTAAGAATGTGTTAAAAGGACATATTGTGCTCATTTCCAGGTACGAATGTGTATGTTGAGCCTCTACCGTGACATGTTTACATCAAATCAAGGTTCTCAGGCAGGAGGGGGGAGTGTGTGAGAGAGACACTTTGGGATTTTAGCCTTTACAGACCATTTACATGCACACAAACCTATATTACACACTAAGGGGAAAAGGCACAAAAGGGTATATTTAATTCCACTACAGGACACACTTCATCTGGAGGTTTTTTGCATTTAAGTGGGGGGAAAGTCCGTATAGACATCGCTTAAATGAGTCCCTAAATGTGACGTGTGGGAACTTGACTCACGCCGCTCATGTGGGTCTTCAGCTCCGTCACGCGGTTGTACTCCGGTGTGTCCAGGACCACGGAGAAGTTGGCCAGGTTCTTCTTAGCCTCCACTGGGTAGGTCACCTGGAAAAGAAACATGGTAACATAGAAAAGATTGTGAAGCCACTGAATGATGGATACTTTATTTACATACACGTTATGGTGAAAAAGCAAGTGGACATGTTGAAGCATAAAAGTCGCAGTAATAACACTAATACATTGAAAAGGTGTTTATTGCACATTACAGTTACTGCACTGAGGTTTCTAATAATCATGACATTAAGGGATGTTATATCCGAATGGAAACACGTACCCTCTGTTTGGTGATGTTGCGGACGTGCACCATCTCCGGGGTGTCGTACAGGAAGCAGCCAACGCCTCTCAGCCAATGCAGATCCTCTTTGTATTTCAGCTAAACACACAAAATGGTTTTAATGAGCATTTAAGAAATGAATGTAAATCGATTTAAAAACGCATCTCTCCTCTGTTTTTCTCTTCTTATACCTCGCTGGTGATCTGGTTGACGTGGTAACAGTGCAACAGCTGGGGTGTGATGGGCAGATTGATCAGCTGACCTCTGGTGTTGTAGTATTTCTCTCTGTAGCACAACTGGAGAAGGAAACAAAATGGTGGCATGAGTACAAACATATGACTCCATCATGAATAATGAAACCAACCCGGATGATATAAGTGGGGTTCAAATGCTTTCATACGTCGCTGAGGTGCTTCTGGTTCATCTTGACTTGCTTGATGTCGGGCGTGTCGTAGGTTGTGTGGATCTTGTCCTTTTGCTTGTGGTACAGCTCACGATACAGGCGCTGGGGAAGGAGGAAGACGACATAAGAGAATGTTTGATCCGGTAAAAGTGTCAGTAATACGTACATTTCTATTAATTGATCATCTTACCTCGTTGGTGATCTTGTTAGCCTTCCTTGAGAGGACGAAGTTGACTCCCTCGGGATGAAGAGTGTAGGCCTTTGCTTTCGTCATCTCATAGGCTTCCTTGTACTTCACCTACCCAACAAAAAAAGCAAGGGGATACGATTCAGCAACATCGAAACTCCTTTGGCAAAAAAAGGTTTAATTGGATGATTTAAAGTTCCCCTATTTTACTGTTTTTCATCAATATATCATAGGTCTCAGATATATACAGAACATGTCTCTGATTGGCTGAAACACCAAACAGATCATTGCAGCATTACCCATAATCCCCTCTGTTTCAGCCCTGTTTCCAAAGTGCTGATTCTCTGTCTGTTACTTTAGATGAAAATAAGGAGCCCCTTCCCACGCCCCTCTGAGAGAGATTTGGTGGGGGGTTACCTTGGTTGCTGATTGGCTAATGGTTACACAAGCCAAAACATCAATATGACATCATAAAGTGGCCAAAATCTGACATGAACAAGTGCATTTTGCATAATAGGTGACCTTTAAGGCAGAAATTGTACTCACATCGCTGGTGACAACGCTGTTGTGTTTAGCCTGTTTGATGAGCAGTGTGTCCTTAGTCAGGGTGTATCCGGTGGGCATTGAACTCTTGTTTTCCTCCTTGTACACATTCTGAGAGAAGGAAAGACAACGAGGTGAGACGAGAGGCATTTCAACTCGAAAAACATACAGCTTATAAGTAAATAATTAAAAAAACAGATACTGACTGGACAACATTAGGGAGAAATCCTGAACCTACGATCTTAAGTAAACTGAATAATGTTTAAATTAGAAAACAGCGTATGTTGTTTTTGTATCTGTTTTAGCAGAGATTAGTCTGCATTACACCTATTTGATATAGCATTGGGTTCCTTGTCACTACTACTACTACTAAATGTCATGTTCTTATGTTGTATGTGACGGGACTACGGATGGAAATGAGCTCAAAGCTAAAATCCGGCTCATTTACACTTGTAAGCAT